ATTTTTCATTTTAGGTAATATGTTTATGTGTGTCATTGCGGTTATTTCTGTGTTTTTTTTTTACATCGTCATCATATCATTTTATATTTATATGTGCACTCCATATTCCACGTAAACGCGATACGGACGTGAAACCATTCACCGGCTGCACACATAAAATGCACCTTTTCATTACTTAAGCGGCTAAATGAATATTGTTTTTAATTGCAAAATCTATTGGCGATTTGTGTTGAATGCGTGCGCACGCCAAATCACCATCATAAAAAAAAACAGCGTTATGGTCTCGAGGTTTGTATGACAGAACACGCTCCCAATACTTCACCCGCTGTCGTTGTCATCATCGTGGCCGGTGGTTTGATGTAACAGGAATATCTTTTTCTTCGGACAGAATATTATTATCATTCCAATATCCCACTTTAGCTGAATATGGAATGGGCAATGAAAAAAAAATGCCGAGATAAATCGAACCAACTGGATTTTATATAACTGCTCAATATGGTCTGTTATGATGGCCATAGCATTAATTGAATGGTTTATGGAGGCCTATGCACAATTTGAAGTCAATTAACCTATTCAAATTCTTTTTTCATTGATTCAAATGAAATTCCCCTTTATCGTTGAACCAAATGTCAAATCATTTTTGAGCGATGAAATAAGCCAAATGTGTCTGTGTTTTTTTTTTTCTGTCTGTCATCTCATCTTCAGTCTATTAAGAGTTTGATTTATGAAAGAATTCGTAATTCAATCAAATGAATTCCTGACCTTTGGTACACTTGATCATTTTGAATTTCTACCAAAGTTCTCAATTAGCTGGGGAATTTGATTTAAGCTGACGATCGTACTGCAAATCGGCACATTGAAACAGCTGTTCGAGATATACACCGTATGTGATGCAACCTCATATTGATCTGACAATGTGATCTGGCAAAGAGTTTGCCATCAATTTTCGACATAATTTAAAGTCCCAAAGACATTGAATTGCTCAACTTGTATGCACGTTATTGATATTCCACTTTAAAACTCATCGTCACAGTACCATGGAAATGTTGTTATATTTGACTTTGACACGGTCTTATGATGCTGCTGCTGCTGCCGCCACAGCAACAACTATCCCACGTGTATTATTACTTAATGAGAAACTCTAAGCGAAGAAAAAACGGCTCATACAAGTCAAATGCACGAGCAAAATGAGCAACGTGAATACACAGAAAAAGGAAAAGAGAAAACGAAATGGATATGGAGCAAGCGAGAGAGAGAGAGAGGGAGTATTCTCAGTGTGCACATTTAATTGAAACCGGTTCCATCGTATCGATACATTCGCTTTAAAGATTGGACACGACGTATCTAGTATGCAAAAGTGTGCATCGAGATGCATCGTCCATGCATACATTTATGTAAATGAAGAACTTGGTGCGCTGCAAAGTTATATACACATATATTTATATCGATAGCATGGAATATTCAATAGATGATAAAAACTTTGTAAGCAGGTAATTATTGTTGCGCGGCACATAGAGCGAAAAAAAAGTCGTGTTGCATTGCCAACGACCACCAATATTAAAAAAGATCTATGGCATTAAAATGGACGAATGAACAAGCAAGCGCCCCAATCGAACAACGAACAATTTTTTTTCTCTTCACGGAATAAATTGCAGTTTTGAATGTTAATCGAATGCAAACTATTTTTTCCCTTCTTCTTCTTCTTCTTCTTCTTCTTCTTCTTCTTGCAACAGCTTCAAACTGAATCCACTTTAGTTTTCTTTTTCGTCTCCCGTTTGCTCTCCCTCTCGCTAAATAAGTAATTGATGTGAAATGTTAAACGAGTTTAATGTGAAAACTATCAATGGAGAAGGTGTTTCCCTGCTGACAGTTTACTGCCAACGCTGGAGCAAAAATTGTTGCATCGAACGACGATTGAAAGATGTTTTAACGTTTTTCACGTTTTTGTTTCTCTCTTCGTATTTTGCATTTGTTTACCATTCGTAAAACAGTAAATTCCACCTCGTGAATTGTTAAATTGTTGTCCAGAATCCCATCTATTTCTCTGATGATTAACTTGACAGATTAAATTGTCTAGCGAAATGAAGAAAACAAAAAGAACAACAAAAAATGTTCAACGAAATCCATAAAATCCAGAACTCAAATGATTGACCTCGTTTCAAAAGGGTTATCGCATTTATCATCGGTCGCGTGAATTTCTTTCGTTTCAGCTGCGACGCAAAAAAAACGTGCAGCATTTCTTTTTCTGTGTTTCTTTTTTTTCTGCTGTTTTGGTATTCGTCGCAAACATTATTTTAAATGTCAAATGTTAATTAAAAACAATTTCGCTGGTAATCAAGACTCTGTGGAGTCTACCGTTATAAACAATTTAAGCGAGTGACGTATGCACATACGAAAATTAGCCACACTTCTTTCATTTGGTTCATTGGGCGTTCCAGCGATACATGTCATTATACACAGTGGCAGCAATGGCCAGCCACCGTTAGCTTACTTCAATTTCGATTTTCATCTTTTAATTAAAATTCTCTGCCGGCTTTAGGCCATAGACTTGAGCACATTTTTTCTCTCTCTTCCTCTCTTTTTGTTGCTCATTGCTAATTATTCCGAAATGAATAAAGGTCGATTGGTTGCAAATTTGTCGTTTCGACCGTCGATTGAACGTAATTTAATTGACCAAAATGACATTGGCGGCAACGTTGAACATAATTCGAAAAAAAAAACCTGCAGCGACTACCAGAAAATGTCGAATTATGAATAATGGGAAATTGAATGTTGACATGCAAAAAAAACTCTCTCATTCCAGCCATTGTTGACGTTGCTTGTCTCATCTGGACACACGTTTTTTAATTGAGAATTCAGGTTTTTACAGCGAAAACACAAAAGCGGCATTCGAAAAGCATCAAAATGACAGTTGCTGTACATGTTATTGAAGAAAGTGTCGATTTTTTTTTTGCTTCAATTAAAGTGCCATTAAAAAATACGAGAACAACTAAAGTAAATGCCGACATAGTTATTTTAATGGAATTTACCACGGCGCATGCAAAAGTTGTTTTTTTCGTTCATTCGGAATATTTTTTGCTCTTTCTCTCTCTCGTCAAGTTTCACTTGGAATTATTTCCCTTTCGATTTCGTTGTTCCGATGAAGATTGAAGACGGGTAAAGTTTCAATTTTGCATTGAATTTTCGAATGAAAGAGAGAGAGAGGACAAAATGAACCGAATGACCAGGTGCATTGATCAAAATCATTCCGATTTTCTATTTAAATTGATTGAAAAGTTTTTGCATTCGAACTTATACTTTCGAAAAGTAACTTATTGTTGATTGCAAATCCGTACACCGAACACCATTCACAGTTGCGTTCACATTGAAATAATCTATTCGGTTTGCGAGAATTGCACCAACGTAAAAAACGTAACCATTTACTCTGAGAAAAAAAAAACGCACACATCACAATGTAATTGCCCGAAGCCATTGGATGGAACGGCTCATAATAATTCCGAAGAAAAATTCATCAGAAAATTAAATTTCATCTATTTTCATTGTATTTTTGCATTTTTTGCGGACGAACCAAAATTACATTTCAATCTCCTTCGTTCATGCAATGAATTCAAATTCGATTATTTGGCGTTCAATTGAAAGTTCTATTCACACGACATTCATTTGCCAATAGGAAACCAAATGAAAAAAAAATTGTGATTCACGTGCGTGGTTCAAGGCATTTGTCGAGGTTGTCATTCAGAATGAACAAAATCGTACATTTGTTAAAATAAAATGGTCGTTTTTTTTCGATGCCAATTGACAAACCGATGTCGAAATGCAATGAACTCGAGCTGTGATATTCTTCGACAGGCGTCGTGTTCGGTTTCACTTTTCAATTTTCAATCCCATTCGATTCCAATTTCCCAAAAATGATTTGGGTGCGAAAGAATGCTGTCGATTCTTTTACCTCGACATGCTGTGTCTGAAGCATTCTCATTTCTAGCGGTGCGAGACATTTAAGCATGCTTGAAATAGGTTTTTTTTCTAGTTTCGAGAGAGTGGCATGTTCATGTAAATGTCATTTGAATGCAAAGTGCCATATAAATGTCTGCGCTGTAACATTTCTAACCCAGCGTTCGCAGCCACTACATCATACAAGATGAGGCGAAGAACCTGGTAGAATTGTTTCAATTAAATATTTTTTAACAACGCATCGGTTCCCCATGGATTTGGTATGTCGAAATATGTAACTAACATCATTTCAGCGGTCAAAATACATGTTTGAAAAGGTATATTTGCATCGTAAACATTATAAATGGCTTAACTTTCCCCATCAACACCCAGCCGGAGAGATAGAGAGCTAGCGAACGAAAAGCACGGGATATTAAAAACAATCAGAATCTATGATTGCTTGTATAACATGTTGAAGATTATGAAAACAATCTCATAGTGCACGGGATAAACTTTGTGATTGTTTATACAGGCGACACGGTATGTTTTGTTTACGGTGTAATGTTGTCGTTGAAGAGTGAGAGCGAGAGAGCGAGAGAGCGAGAGAGAGAGAGAGACTGAACGAGAAAGGGATTCGTGTTAAAGTTTGAAATAGCAGTCAATGACTGAACGCCTCCCCATATATATATGGGATGTGAAGCACCTTTTGCAGTGTAGTATCGGATTTCATATTTTTGAATAATGGGAAATTTGAGAGTTAAGCCGAGATAATAATTACAGTAATCTGCTTGCAATTCTAAATAAAGAAACTTGATAATAATGAGATGCTTCACTTGATGCTCTTCTATGTGCTCAGAATACGTACACATTCTGGCGAAGTGATCCCTGTTGTTTAAAATGTGGGTAGACTGATTTCCATATTGGGTCGATGACAAGAATGTTGTTGCTTTTCAGACGAAAATTTCGAAAATTTTGATTGTATATTTATAGCGAAATATTCCACTTGATTAACCATTGCTTTATATGACCTTATCTGTAAAATGCATTAATTCGAAACATTGTCTCTATAGGCATAGCCATGTTTGTCACACATGAACAACGGGACGACGATTCGTTTGAATGGATTGCACGTTTGTGCGAAGAATAATGTGTGTTAAGTAAAGCCGACAGCGATAGAGGAAAATGTCACAAATAAGAAAATCGGCATCATTTCGATCGAGAATACCAATACGAAGAGCCAAACCAGTGCCAAGACGATGCTATAGCCCTGAACCGTACAGAAATCTATCGACACCTGCAATGTATGACCAAAGCCACAACAACGACGAATACGACACAAAACCGATGTGCAATCATCATGGCAACGAGCAACGCATCAGCAAACAAAAGATGAAACGTCAACGCCACATTGCAACAACGCTCGCCCAACAAGCCCAGCACACAGCCAAACCAAGCAATGATGCATCAATAACATCGGTTAGTAATTTTCCGGTGACACCAATCCGACCGAAAACCATCTACTCATCTTCAAGCTATTCCAGCAGCGACGAGAGTCAAGAATCCGAAGCACCACCACAGGTACATACATCCATATTCTGTTTAGAAATGAGAATTGAGTTTGAATTTAAATATACATATTGGTATTGAGACGCTGGACGACTGTTAACTTGTGCACAGTGCACACATAAACCATCATGCAGTGCCTGGCGATTTGATGCTGGCAAAAACCGTATTCCCTTACATAGATTTATTGCTGTTTATTGTCCAAATGAAATGCGAAAAGGTAGAGATAAATTGAGAGAAAGAGAGAGAGAGAGAGAGAGAGAGAGATAGAGCGGGCGAGAGAATGGGAGAGAATCGTTGAAATAAGACCGGAATGTGGTGACCTTTGAGTATGTACACACCTGTGAAAATGCAATAAATCCATTGATATGTTTGTATGCATCGATTACTCTTTGATTCTTTTACCAATCCGACCACACTGAAGTCCGATTGCATTACAAGCATTCCTCGATCAGCTTACATATTCTCTTCGCTTTGATGTGGCGCACACACACTGGCTGACCTGTAGCGCATTCTCTCTCTCTTTCATCTCGACAGCCTCAACAAATATAAAGTCTCCCATTATTTTTGACCAGATTTCAGGCTCTCAGAGATAGTGTTTAATGTAATATTATTAGTCAGTAGAACGAATACTCCTTCCACATAAATTTGCAGTCAAATCGAACTGAATACGATGCTTCATATGACGATATCATACATGTGCAACCGCACTTTTGACTACCGTTTGCATTTCACACAAACCAACCTCATAAATAACTGAAAAAGCGAAAGCACTCCAATGAGCAGATCATTTTCACAATGCACTCCATTTCGATACACAGCTTTGTGGATCAATATCATGGGACTATGGGCATTTATTGGCCAAGTCTTTGTGATGCTCAGCATCATTCGTGCATATCGTGTTTTCAATCGTCTGCTTCACATAACCTTTTAATGATCCGGCATAAAACCATCGAGGAATTTCCAATAACCAATTGCTTATACTCCGTTGGAGTAACTCCACATTGTTAGCCATTGAATTGTCGAAGCGAATTGACCAGCTCATCGCTTTCACAAGTGTTTTAATCCATCCGAGAGCGACATTCGCTACATAACAATGGCCAAGTTCACATTACTATATTGGTATGCGCCAGAAATGATACTGTTTCGGAGTATTATCGAGGTAGACGATTCACTAACAATAATCGAATTATAATTTTGAGAAAATCCATGTTTATATTACCTCAAGTTATTTACTTGATTGCCCTTTTAAATTCTCTGTCCAAACATTTTGAATTGGAAGAAGAACATTTCGTAAATTTAGGACGAAGAACACTTTTAGGTAGTGAAATTAAATTTTCAAGTGTATTTTCATATCGGAGCTAAGAAAATACCTAGGAATAAAGTTATTCTGCAAAGAATACATGCTTCAGAAGCGTTCCTTCTTATAATCAATAGATTTTTTTTCCAAACATTTCTAGAAGTACTTAAACTATACATGAAGTTAATTACGAAGAAAATCCACCAAATTTTACCGGTATCGCCTGCGCGATAGAGTAATTATGTCCAACTGAACTCTCTTCAATTCCGAAAATGCGGATTTTTTTTTAGTAACTGTTAAGTTTATTTTCGAGTAGTGTGTTCAGTACATGTTTATAAGTAGCTTTATTCATAAGGCACCGACATTCAGACTACTTGAGATATTGTTGTTTAAAAGAGGCAATTTCCTTGATCCAGATAAACAGACACTTTCCAGATCATTTTAAAGAATGAAAAGCAAAGCGAACACGAGGAAAAGGAAATCTAAAAGAAAGAAAAGAGTTCGTCGCTCAGTCAGTCCATTTTGTAATTTAAGTACCTTCGAGCGAACGAGTAAGAGAGAGTAAGAGAGAGATTGTGTGCATTTAATTTGATAAAGTTTTGTGTTGAAGTGATGGGAAACCTCGTAAAACTATGTAAATAGGGGCTGAAAAGTGTTTGAACACTAGACTTACGGTATAGCGCTTAAATAAGCTTATTCATAACGACTTCATAAGAAGTTAAAGTGCATAAGCGATGCCATAATTTCATGAAATTTAGAACTCTCTCTCTCTCTCGTCGATGTGAAAGGCGATTGTGTATGTATGGAAGCCAAGCGAATAATCTTTTCCATCGCATAATTTCTTATTAGCCGAAACGCGCAAACCCAATTGTCTGCACAATCGACGAACACTCATTTCCATCCGGCCAAAAGGCAGCGACAGCGAGTGAATGCACGAGAAATTTGATATTTCCCACGGCATGAACGCACTTTGTGAAAGCACTTCATTCGTCTGAATGTGAACAACTTTACGGCTTTGCTGTATCGTCGTCGTCGTCATCGTCGTCGTCATCACCATCGTCTTCGTTGCTCCCTGTCCTGGTTGTTGGTTGACGGTTGAATATAGCTACCGGCTAAAAAATTAATAAACGCGTAAATCTTATTAAGCGATGAACGTACGTTTCGATGGCTTCGTTTGAGCTACTTAATGCAGTGTAAAATAATAAACCAGACGGGCTGTGACTGTGTGTTGTGTGTATGTGTTGTGTGTATGTGTTGTGTGTATGTGTTGTGTGTATGTGTTGTGTGTATGTGTTGTGTGTATGTGCCGACTGTGAAAAGTCCGCCACACAGAACGAAAAAAAAAAAATCTTTGCACCCTTGATATTGTGTGTTAACGCGAAGGCATGCTTAATAAATTAAGAGCCACGGCGTATCTTCGCGCCATCAATTTTTCTTTCCTCTTCTTCTTCATATGTAATACGATATTACCAATTTTTCGATACAACTTTAATGTAAGCACGTTTTGCACATTGAACAAACTTTCCGTTCGTTCCAACGAGTCTCTCGTCGGAGAGTGAGTGAATAAATTATAATTATCGTATTCGTATGTGCTGAGTGGAATCCCTTAATGAACAAATAAACACATGCGATGGGAAAATTTGGTGTGCATGCTCGACTTCTTCGTCAAATGCCTAATGCTTTTATGTGCACCATCGCATAAAAGCCATGGCTTAACATTTTATGCTATTCAAACAACACCAACCATCACATATACGCACAATCTTTTTTTCTTCTCCATTTTCTTCCACATGAAAGGAAAGCGTCTCGAATCGTTTCGGTTCTGAGAGTCTGGAAATTTGTGACTTTTGAATGTGCACCCAAAATTTACTTACCTATACTGAAAACACATTGACAAAACATCTGTGGTTTGTTGTCGCAAACACAAGCACACACACACACGTAAGTAAAGAGTACGGTGGTGTGACACTCATGCTGTTGATAAGTGTTTGTTTGAACTGTGGTAAGTTCATCAAGAAAACAACGCACAATTTCCCACTTTGGCTCTGTGCACCACTTGAGACGCTATGTCTCGCCGACACACAACACTTTCGGTGATAGTGACAGATGAACTTACGACATTGCTAAACAAGAAAACAACGGAGAGAATACACAACATCTCTGGCTATGATTGTCCAGATCAATTCCAGAGCATGTAATAGAGAAAGAGTATGTGTGTATGGCGTGGGTACTCTTTACCACATCCAAGGACAAATGAACCAATCAAAAACGTAAGCCAAATTGAACGAAATGCGTAGTTCACACAGCAACTCTGAATTTGACGTTGAAGTATTGTTTTGTGTTTATGGAGCTAATGGAGCCGTCTTACATGATCTTAACATATGTTTGTCTATGTAAAATGTGGCATCGATGTTTAGTAAACTAAAGTTTAGTATCGACAGAAGCAACTACAACAACAATCCCATTGGCCCAGTTCCCATTGACATTATCTCGCGTATATTGTTTGTAATTGAACGTTTCGCGCCTAAGCACAAATATGTATATATATTTGCTCGTTACGCGCCCACACTTCAGTAAGCACACACACAGAGAGTGGCAGAGAGAGATTCGGGCTTTATGATTTATTACGGTGGGTTTGCGAGAATTCGTCGCACTTGCATTTCAAATTTGTGGGCTTACACATCCCATTGATTCGTTTTATGTATACTACAATGGCATCGTGTGTTGTCATTTCTTCTTCTCTTTTCCATTCCTTTGCTCAATTGCACACAGTGAGAGTGAAATTGTCGCTGGTTGCGAGAGAAAGGCAAAGGAAAATTTATGGGATGCGGTTCAATGTGATGCAGTCGCATCAATATTGTAAGGCATTTGCCGTACAATTCGCTTTTAAAATGAACTACGACATTGTGCCATGCTCAAGTACATAAATAATATCACTTTGGTTGTTTTGTGTGTTATATGAGGTTTTACCACTCATTTTTTTACACTTCCAAACTTTGTCCATGGCATGAATTTAATATTTACGTTCGTTTTGTGTGTGCACTAGAGAGTGAAACAAGCACAAAAGGCGTATTTGCTATAGCGTCTTTTCGCTTCATCTTCTTTTGCCTTCTCTCTCTCTCCCTTTGTTATTTATTTATTTATATGTTCCAACTTAAAGCGCAATACATATCTCAACAATGTTCAAACTGTGAGTAACGCCTTTGCACTTCGTGTCTCCGTGCTTTGAGTGTACGATTCATAGTGACGTGATGCACCATATGCGCTAATGGTTTTCAATCACCTATCGTTTCGTTTCGTTCTCTCTCTCTCTCTCTCTCTTTTTTTTTCTCTCGTTCTTGTTCACATTGGTGGCCGATATGAATGACGATACGATATTTACTCAAATTTTGCCTCATTCCTATCGTTGTCGATGAACGTTTTATAAGCCAATTTCACAAAGATTTGTCGCTTTCGTTTTGTACTGACATGCTGCCGAATGGCATTTTAGTGTGTACAATTTGTTGTGTGTGTGTGTGATGATTTTGAAATGTATACAGCACCGAATCTCAGCTAACACCTGAAATGAAATAAGTGTCAGTTATGTATATATATAGCCATTATTGTGTATCAATTATGGGACACAAAAACCATGTTGATTCTATACTCAATGCGCCAAACCAAATGAGAATAATGCATTCTGTGAAAAGTGTATTGAAAATATATATATATTTGTCTTTGCTCAATGTCATTTCAATTTGCAGCTCATTCAATTGGGTTTTGGAGAATGGAAGGGAAAAAAAACGAAACTTCGACTGCCAATGAGTGCCAAAATTAATGTCGATTTCAAGCGAAACACAGCGACTACGAGCGAGCATACACCGTTTGGCAACCAATCTGTTGCCTCTAGAAAACTTATGCGAACGAGAAATATGGATCGATTGCAAAGGTAAAAATGTGAAAGAGCAAAGTGAGAAAATTGCTTCGAGAATGGTGATAGATCGTTGACGGTCGTCTTTTTTTGTATCCCACAAGAAACAGCGAAGATACTTGAACAAATTTGCTTCTCCTTCATCAATGTCATTGATAATTTCGGTATTTTAATATTTGCAATCAATAAAAGCGTCGAAATTTGACTTTGTTGGCATTGTTCGTATCGTTGAGTGCAATTTGGCGCGCAATATCAACAATTGGTGATTTATATTGTTTACAATATAGAGCACAGCAAAGCACTTGAATTGCGTTGGCTGGTTTTATCTACACACACAAAAGAAAAAAACACTTGAGTGAATGATTGAAAATGACACACAGACCTCGACTGTGTAAAATGGTCAAAAATAGAATGTCTCATAAAATTTCAACAGATTATGAATATTGAAGCCATCCCAAATCGAATAAACATGATTTAATACAATAACATAACACAAATTCATTTGAGTGCGCGCCACCACGTCGCATCAAAAACGGGGCCAAAGTGCAAATAGTACTTTATTAAATCAATCAATTCATCTTTATGCGAAATTGATCAATATTCAAGTGATTTCGTGTCATTTCATAATTCATATCGATTTGCTTGATTTGATTTCGGCTGGCTGTTACCATTTTCAGATATGTGTGCTCAAGTTTTCAGACCGTTGCTGGTCTGGCATTGATTTAATGCGATCTCAGCGCGCAAAGCCATCAATTCTAAATCACTTTGTCTGCGTTTGAAAAGTGAAAAAGTGCCTCCGGCCACTTGTACTCTCAAAGCAAACGCGGTATTACCATTCGCACATACGGACTCTCTCTCTCTTTCTGCCTCTCGAGGCACTAACCACAAACCGAAGCTTTGGCAAAATATCAGTCTTTTCACATCTAAATAGATATGTTTATCGGATACACCTAAATGCATTTGACGTTAGCGAAAGAGCCAGAGTGGCTGCCACCGACAAAGTGCGCGGAAACGGCATTGTTATTGTTTGCGCGCAACTTTCGGAAATCGCTTCAGTGTACAATATCGCTCCGACATAGCAATTCTTTTGTGGCGAACGTGAAACAAATGCTCAAGACTGTATCAATGCATCAAATCAAGGATATCATTGACTGATGTGTTTTTGGTGTGCAAAACCAACAGCATTCGTGATGGTTCGGTTAGCAAAAACGCAATCCATTCGAATGGTCGTAGACTGGAGCTTCATTGAGTTTGACGATAAGCGTGTGCATATACATACATACATACACACGCGCGCCCGTCAACCGAAACGTACGTACAACTGATCGAAATCTCTATGAAGTGTGACGGTTTTCGGCAACATGTACAGACATTATCACTTGACGTAAAGAATTATTTTCTATTCCATTTGAATGGGTTTTTTTTTGTACGAGAGCAAAGTATTCCCTATTGCCCGAAGGCGATACGTATCGTATTGTTTTCGCACAAAATTTATGGCTCAATGTTTTGCTGATAGAAAATTTGGATTCGTCTGGGGGGATTTTTGCAAATAGCTGATCAAACAAGTCGATTTCATGGTAACACACAAACCAGTTTACCACTATTTATATTAATTAAATTTCGGCATAAATATCATATTTCATCGCACGTTCATTCATTCAGATTGAGTTTATTTCAATTATCGAAACTTTTTGGCCATACAAAAACTATTTCCCATAATGTATATACCATTTATCCATACTTCAAGTTAATACACCCGAGAGAATAGATTCAACCATAATGAATACTCCGTCGAACAGTCGATGATAAGTTGTTCGGCACAACACAATTTTCTCCGAAGTGGCATTCTTTTCGAAGAAGAAAAGTTCCGTTCCACCCATCCGAAAATTGAATTAACACATTGAAAAGCATGCGTGAAATAGCTGCAAACAAAGTTTAAGCCTGTTTTTTTCTCTCTCTCTCTCCGTCGTTTATCCATGGAATGGAACTATTCCGGAATTGAATTTTCATAGTTACCCCCCTCGATAAACTTTGCACTGTTTGATTTTCAATAGAAGTGCAACGTTTGAATTGACATACAGCTTTGAAAATGTGCTATGAACATACAGTCACTCACAAAATTGTCTGTACACCTCACGATTTTCATACAAATTGGCGTTTTTCGTGTCTCAAAAAAATATGCTTCGCGAATTCGAACCTCGAAGATTTTTGGTATACTGTAGGTGGAAGGCCTGAAGACCAAAATAGTGAAATTTCAGGATAAAAAATCCAAAGGAATTAAAATGGGAGATGATTATGTATTCACAAAATTGTTTGTACACCCAATTTTACATAGACTCTAATGTAAAATTGGGTGTACATTGTACAAACAATTTTGTGAATACATAATCATCTCCCATTTTAATTCTTTTGGATTTTTTATCCTGAAATTTCACTATTTTGGTCTTCAGGCCTTCCACCTACAGTATACCAAAAATCTTCGAGGTTCGATTTCGCGAAGCATATTTTTTTGAGACACGAAAAACGCCAATTTGTATGAAAATCGTGAGGTGTACAGACAATTTTGTGAGTGACTGTATATAAGCCCGATATTCGTTGTGGAAATAGCACAACCTTCCTCAAAATAAGCAATATTCTCGTGTGTACGTGCATGCAATGCATCACACGCACATATACAAATTCCTTGCACACTGAACACACTGAACACTGAAAATTGAATCAATCTCCCAAAGTTTTCCCAATGCAAATTTACTTACATAATCTAATCTATTTTGGAATGTTTCTTCCCCATTGCAGTACCTACTGAAGCAGTCTGCATCGAGTGCAGCCATTGTCCGACCACCATTGAACGTATCTACCGATGCGATGAGTTTGGATGGGATTTTGGATTCGATTAGTTGCGGTAGCATTTCCAGTCCACCATCACCGGCCAATTATCTCAGTAAGTATTTTCAAAAAAAAAACGCTCAACAATGCGGTTAATTAAATGAAAATGCGGTTGTGTATGTGGAATTGGACTCGATCGACATTTAACTTCTTGAAATATTTTTCGCGATTCATACTGTTCATTCCGATACATCGAAGAGTTCATAAGATTTTTCAAAATGAATTATCCCGAACTGGGTGTATTAAGTGCAATTGGATTCATTTTCCAGCGCTGCGAATAAATCACTTTTGAATCAATTTTTAAAGAAGAAGAAGGAGGAGAAGGAAAAACCCGGAGAGATTCATTTTTTAGTGAAAAAGATCGACGAGCAATCTGTGTGCAGTGTGTGCACAAATCGTGAGAGAATTTGGCGTTCAACAGATTTGCCGTATCGATAACCTTCACTTTGGCACATATTTCGCGTAGCAACGTAGATTGTGTGACATAAAGCGTCGTTAAAACTTACGATCGCATATAAATCAAATGCGGATTTACTTTGCATTTGGATTGGAACGACAGAGACACATACACGTATGTGCCTTGTGCGATGGCTTGATAAATTTTAACAAAGCGCCATACGCCATTGTGCACCCGAATGCGAAGCAGCAAACGGAACACATACACACACAAAGGAAAAGAGAGACGAGCAGAGAGAAATTAAGTAGCGTCGACGGTCGCAAAATGGTAATTCAGTTGTGAGACGTGTTCTCTCAAATTGGTGCGTTCGTCGTATGAAATAGACAGAGCTAAAAATGTAGCAGTTGTGTAAGACCACGTTCAGCATCCTCTATCTACTACATCGTTCGGATTATGAATGGGCAACTGAACGATGAGGATAGAAGACAGAGAAAAACCGAACGAAACAGTGTCTTTTATTGGACGAAATGAGCGAGCGAGTGAGCGAACAAACGAGCAAACAAATGAAAAGAAAACAAAAAGGAATGAATTCCATTTCTTCATTGCAAAAACTGAAGAATATTCCAACTTATCGCGTCACACATTTCCGAAACGGAACACATGAAACCTAGTTTCAGAGCAACGACGGCAAAGTACCGAAGGAATTTAATTAAACACATAACGTAACGTTGATGAATATGACAGATTTCATACTTACCTCGTTTTCTTTTTGTCTTTGCTTTTGTTGGCGTAACCACCGTTGCCACTGCTGCCCCGGTATTGTTGGGACGGAGCTCGCGCACTCATGACAACGCAATGGAAAAAGTTTCCAGCGCTACCAGAAATTTGATGAATATATGGATCGCATCGCCCATTCTCGAAGTGCTGTTGCCATCATTTCTTTCTCTCTGCCTCTCTCTCTCTCCCTCCCATTCTCTTTTGTTTTCTGGTATAAATTGCATCCGATGTCAAAATAGATTAAGAGATCTTACTTCGTTAGTAATTTGCCGAAAAAGAATGCTTCACAAATTAAATTATGATATTGTGAATATGAAACACGACCTCCATTGTCTCGGCCACATTGCAACCAACTTTATATAGTTTGGAGAAATATTTCTCTCTCCCTGGGTTTTGTTCTTCTCCCATGCAACGGTAGTTTTTGTTATATGTTGGCTTATTACTCCGCTGGCTTGAACACGTGTGCTGGCTCGAACTTGAGAGTCGAGAGTGCTTTTTAAATATTATTTAATTTGAAGCTTTTCGACGCGAGAATTCTTAACTATGTGGCATTATGCATGTGCAAAGTTGCACACCGCAAGCAATGCTATCTCATCGCTCGTGCCCATCGCGTGTGATCTTACAACCTTACCGTGAAATATCAGCTTCGGAATAACCGGGGAATACAAAAACAAGATGCTCGACATCGCCATCCACATTTAACAAATTTATGTATTCAGTTTTTATGAGCGTGGATATACACCGTTTTTTTCTATCTCACTGGAATGCTTTCTCGCTGCTTGCCGCACCCGAGACCGACACCATACACTATGTGTGAGCACTGTATACTCACACTGTGTGAGTCACACACACAAAATTTATTGTTGTGTACCGATGAACAACGGAATACTGGTGATACGTTATTCCGTTTGGAATGTTTCTTTCATATATCATAGCGACTTCTTCTCTTTTTTTTCTACCATAAGGTCACAATGCAGCCTCTCAATAGGCTTGCAAGCCCATCTTCATATATTTTATTTAAATTCCCGAAATTGCCGAGACGTGGTCCAAATACAAAATTAAATCTTTTCATTTCTCTTTCACCTTCAACAAGCTCTCTCTCTCACACACACTCTGTGTGTGTCTACCTCTCCTACTGCATGTATGTGTCTGCTCGGTTAATCCCATTTTATACGATGGTTTGTGTTGCATAATCTGTTCCTTTTGCCTCACAAGCCATTCTTCTTCAATTTTTCGAGCAATTCTTTTCTTCGCACTCGAGAATAACACACACCGTCACCATCACCATCACCACCGTTGCCACCGTCTTCCCAGGTGAATCCATTTCACGAAGAAGAAAAAGGATGAGAAGAAAAAAACGACAAGCATTCAACATTCCTTGCAAATCCAGCACAAAGTACAGATGTAAGTGCAGTGAGTCAGATTCTTTTCCATGTTTCTGCACTTTTTTCTTTAGCTTATTGCTGACTCGGCACACTTACACCCAGATTACTCTTCAAATTACATTTCAACGAAATGTAATATATACCATGCACACAAATTTTAGGACAGACAATTCAATGTCTTGCATTTAGCGAATGACGATGGTGAAAAGGAAATTCTCATTGCTTTTTAAAAACTTGGTGCGTAGGCATTTTCCACACGGTTCTGATTTGTGTGACCATTTTCTGGAGAAAATGTTGTAAATTGATATCGTCATGCTGCTTTTGAGTGGCGAAATCATCACGAATATAGAAGTATGGCAGCCGCAGCCATCATCAGCGTTAGTCAAAAAGTGTTGAATGTGATGAAAATTTTTCATCACTTTTGATTACACGCAATGATATGTCTCTATATAAACTCAACACTGACAATAAAATACGCTGTAAAACCGTTCTCACCAACACAAAGCCACTGCAGCGTGGCTATATGGAAATGAAGGCAAACAACGAGAACGTACGAAAAGTCGAAATCCAAAGACAATTTATGGCAAGTTGATGTAATAATGATGGAAAGGGTCTTTTTTTACGAGCAACCACCATAATACTTCCGACTTCTATGGGCTTTCACGTTGTAATCATCCCTTTGTCTTTGTTGCTGTCTCTCTCTCTCTCCCACTCGTTTCATGTGCCCATTTTATTACTGAATTTCAAAATTTAAATGAATTTTAGCACAACATGCTCCCAACAACATTGGGCTTTTTCTCCAGAATACGCACTCAAAATGTAGGACTAAAAAGTAATTAAATAATAAAAGGGGCCCGCTATTGCTATTGCATCTAAACAATGATTGTTACGCTCTGTTTAAAGAGAATAGTAAAATAAAGCTAAAATGCTTTTATGTTCCCCAAGAGTGTTTTAATAAGGCAACTGCCCCAATTTGCTAGCCAAAAATATTTTTTAATAAAGTTTAAAATTTTATTCGCCAAATATAGAGGAAAAAAATGGCGAAACAAAATTGGAACAATTTGTGCTGAAGTAAGTTCAAAAAGCACCTTGGAATGTGCAACTTTGTTTCGTTTTGAATACCACTTTCAGTTTTACAGTAATGAGAATGGAAAATTCTAGTATTTTTTGTTTGTTTTCGCGCTCCGCATACAACAATTTTCATAAGTTCAGCTGGGCAAAGAATTGCGATTTGTATCTGGGTCGCTTCTGTATCTGCTTGCAATTATTCCAATTAAATTATGAATATGTTTACTTCCGTTTCCGAAACACTGAATGCATACAACATTTATGCAAAGAATGTCCCATTCTTTCTCTCTCTCTCACATACACACACCCGTTCATCTGTTTTTCTTCGTATTTTCAAACATTATTTTCTGTGTGTGGTGGGTTATGTTGTTAAAGCGACATTTTCGAAAAACCAGAACACAACTCATTTAAATAAACAAGCATGATTTTCGGGTCGGTAAACAATGTAAAATGTGTAGTTGGAAAAACAAAATTTGATAATTGTTTTTGTCTGCCATAAAAAATGACTTCTGGTTACTGGAAAAGCACCACCCGCATGAGCACACGCTGCTATTTTTCTGCTTGTTTTTTTTTTCTTCTTTTCGTTGTCTCCTGGAGTTCCGTAAATCGGAATGCAGTTCATGACATTTTATCGAGCGAAATGATTGGAGCTACAGTTTTCTCACAGTAAACAAGGAGATGGCAAAACAAGCCAACTCGTTTTCCATTCCGAATTTTATGCATATTTTCAACATTTCTGCACAAAAGTTTATTTTATTGACTCATTTTCATCGAGGAATTTTATTCTTTTCTTCGATTTTTTTCTTCTTCTACTTTTCAACGATGAAAATGAAACATAAATTTTTGTTTTACTGAGAATATTTTAACGAGTTTGAAAATAATAATGTGCGAATTTATTCCGAAACCGATTCAGTGGGGCATCAAAACTTGAGTTTCGACTCGGTATTGTCTCCATAGCAATGGAAGAGGTGCACCCAAAAGCTCAATGATATAAAATTTTATTTATAAATGTCATTAAAATGTTTGTCGGAGAATTTTGGGCGTCCTAGAGGATTTTTCAAACTGTTTCGATATTCCAGGAGGCTTTCGACTGAGTTCCGACTGTATGTTTGACGAAAAATGAACGAAGATTGATTTGACTTTCCGTTGGAAGGATATTATGCAAATTGAACGAAGTCTTCCGAGAAAAAAAAAAGCTCATCGAGTCTTTAGTTTGTGAAAGTCTATTAGCATCGACGCATTCCCATGAAAATTTACTTTCATGAGTTTTTGAATCCAGCAGAAAAAAATGCATGACCCGTTTAGTTTCAAACTTCGATAATTTTTCTCCCTTTGCCGGCGAAATGAGATTCTTATTGACATAATTGGATATTGATTCAGTTGAGGGAAAGTTTTCAGCGAAAAACGGATGCAAAGGAATTGAAACAAAGCAAGAATTCCTGAAGAATTACAACCAATTAGCTTCCGTCTATAGTGAAATGGAGAAAAAAAACCTTTTTTTCCTTTTAAATATTGTTTCGTTAACTTATGCTTTTTGTACTCACTTGAGGTAAAGTTTTCAAGAACAATTTTTTCATTTGGTTTTTCTTTCTTTTTGCGTTTGTTTAGGTCGTGGGGACTCATACTCGAGCTGCGACTCCCTAGATAAATACAATTATGCACTGGAGACGCTAAAACTAAGTGATAGCGGGAATTATTTCAAGGGAAATATGTTGCAGCCAAAATGTCGCCAACCATATGTGCACAATGACCGAAAAATGGACACGGAAAAGATAAATGACGATTTAATTACGCCAAAACTACCACCTCGACCTCCATTGCCGAAAATATCACAATCCTCGACAACGATTGACAAAGATTTGGCGAAGCAACAGCAGTTGAGCGATTGGTATTATATAAAAACTGGTCCAAAATCGCCGTTGCCAACGCCGCGTACCGACAAACGTAACGGTATCTATGGATCGACAACGGCAACGATGACGACGACAACGTCTTCGACGATGGTGGCGGTGACACCAACACCAGCCAACCGAACGACTACAAACATTTTAAATAATAATAGTAACACAGTCGAGGGAATTTATGGGAAAAATGGCAATTCCAGGGAATCGACCAAAAACCATTTGAATGTGTACAGTGAAAATATGATGAAACGTGTCGAGAACGGTAATTCACGTTTCGGTGACATTGACCATATTCAAATGGCAACGATAAAAACAATTGGCCACGATGACAATCATACGACGGAGAGTGTCTATCAGACAATAAACGTTCCATCATCTAGTGATGACTTGCAAAAAATACACACACCATTGAATCATCAATATTCCGGCAACGAACCATTATGTAAATTTAATTTGAGGAATAATAGTGAACAAGTCAATGGATGCCCGAAATGGCAGCAGCCGCAAGAGATTCAACAGCGCATACATATGATGGCACCGCCATCACCATCCGTCCCATCGAAAAAAGTGCACTCACATCAGCAGCATCATCAACAATCGCATCCGTTTTACTATGTTGAACCATCAAAAAAGCACTTGTCTTCGCCACGACAAGACAAACACACCAAGCAAAGTGTTGAATATCAGCAAAAATTGCCCGAACCGCAATGCGAACAAATTCAAGTTGCATCCAAATTACAAACTCATAATGAACGGTTGAGTTCAGCCGCAATAGCAGCAGCAGCAGCTGCTGCAGCCGGAGCAACACCAGCAACTGTGGCAACAATGACATCGAATTCCAATTCAAATGTACACAAAGTAAGTGGCGTTCATTCGTTGTCGCATCAGCAGACAGACCATTGTGGTAATGCGAATTCAAGTAGTTTTGAGCACGTAAATGTTACAAGTGGCTTTTCATCGTTATCCGCATCATCGGAAATGACCATTGACGATAAGCGTCAACGCTTCAACAACCAAAATTATGCAGACGAACAATGCTTCCGTTCGTCGACCAATGTTGTGGGCGACAGTCGACAATGTTTACAGCAAACTGTCTCCTCGTCACCTTTACTGCCAGCCACCGTTGGCGCCCATCCAGCCAAGGTAAGTAACAGTCAAAGTTTGTTGTTTTGTTATGAAAGAAACTTAGCCGATTGATGTGGTTGCTGTTATTGTTATTGTTGTCAACCAAAACTAACGCGCTGTAAAACTTACCGTCAAAATGAGAGGCAAGTCTTTTGTGTGTGCGTGTGTCTCTCTTGAATGGTTACCTATTCATTGCATCGACATGAGATTCAATTTCTTTAGCTGTGAAGTGTGATCATAGCAACCGCTTCGAATAATTTAAAACACATTAGTGGTACGTAGTTGCAGTGAGAAAGTTTGACGCAAGAAATCCAAACATTAATTTCATTAGATTGAGTTCAACTTGGCTTTAACTTTATAAAAATGACAATTTGTGATATTCGTTTTTGTTTTCGATGAAAAGTTAAATACTACTTTCGTTGGCTTTTATTATTCTTTTCAGGAAGGTAAAGAGCGAACGATTCAACAAATTTTAATGCAAGCAGATGCTTTCATGCATTCCCACAATTCAACTCTCAAAAGTTATGAACGGAGACAAAAAAAAAAAGATCTTTTTGACGAACAAACCAAATGACGAGGGATTTTTTCTTTATCCAACGCTTTTCTTTTCGTTCGAAGAAGAAAATATGATTTTACTTTCATCGACTATTTCTCTCTCATCGGGTGCACACAAAGTGCTTTTCGTAATTTTGCAATGACACAGACTTCCGTTCCAGAAAATATTCCATCGAAGAGTAAAATAAGGAAAAAAACAGATGAGCAAAAAAAAAACACACGAGTAAATGGCTCCCATCGCGCTTTTACAATAGCATTACAACATCCATCCCATTTTTATCTCATTGCATTTCTATCTCTCGCTCTCTTTCTCGTTCACTTCAACTTTTTTTTCGCATAAACGAAATGAATTTCTGCTACTGCATATCTCGAACCATTCAATGTTCTTTTTCACTCATTTTGACTTTTCCGTACACAACGTGTCAAGGGAAAGTATAGGAATTGGTCCCGAAAACTTTTTTTTCGCAAAATTAGCTTAGATCATCATAAAAACTCATGAAACGCGTAGAAAACCACTTTTTGAGACACTTTTCCGTTCGTGTGCCGTCGTCGTCGTCGTCGTCGTCGTCGTCGTCGTCGTCGTCGTCGTCG